TTTGAGACGTGGGTCAGGGGCCGGGTTTGAGTCAATTTCGGGTTTTAAGTCTAATTTGATATTTTTCTTGTGGAATTGATTCCTTTAGCCTATATTGATCGTATTGTATTGCTTGTGGCTAGATTCGGGACGTTTGGAGACCGATTCGAGAGGCAAGGGCATTGCGAAGTAGACATTTGCTCGGATTGAGGTAAGTAACGATTGTAAATCTAGTCCTGAGGGTATGAAACCCCAGAATTTTGTATTAGTTTACTATTTGGAGGTGGCTCACATGGTAGGTGACGGGCGTGTGGGCGTGCACCGTTGGGGATTGTGACTTGGTCCGTCCTGTATCAACTGTGAAGTTTAATATTTTGTTGAAACTATATGATTCTTATGTGTTTTAGAAAGAATTTCTGGAAATCAGGCTGGATGCCATGTTTAGGCCTTATGCCTGTGTTGTTTGGACTCTTAGAGGTATTTTCTTGCTATCCTCTCATTGTTTTTGATTGAAAATCTATACTCAGTCATGTTTATACATATTTACAGCATAACTCAGTCTCTATTACTCTATTTTGATGCATCATATAAAAGTTGTTTGGGCTGAATACGTTGTTTTTTGAGAGCCTGATAGACTGGAGAGGTTTATGACTGAGTGAGGCCGAGGGCCTGATTTGTGAGGATATTTATGGTATCGGGCTGCACGCTGCAACATGTTTGATATAGGCCGAGGGCCTCATTGATCGATGCCATGATTGGCTTGATATAGCGCTTAGGCTGAAGGAGCCCCTCCGGAGTCTGTACACACCCCCAGTGAGTGCAGGTACCTACTGAATGCGAGTGCCGAGTGCTGAGTGACTGGGAGGCATGAGTGATGGTGAGGTCTGCCCGATGGGCTGTATACGAGTGATTGTGAGGTTTGCCCGAGGGGCTGTATCACGCCCAACTATGCCTTGTAAGAAGGACTAAGCGGTCGCTGCAAATGTTACCCGGTTCAAGTCCAGAGTCGAATCCCATAGGGAACTAACCTATTTACTACAACTTTAAATAATGCTAATGATAAGCTCAGACAACTTCCGGATGCAAGGGTTTTATGAATAATCAGTGGAATTTATTTAACTAAGGAAACATGACAATAAAATTAGCAATATTCAAGACAAATTGAACTCAAGGGTAAAAGGATCTAGGGCTATTGATTTCCCGAATTACCGGATTAATTCTTAATTCTTTAGCTATAATCTCGTCGTAGTACTCTATGAGGATTATGAGTTCCGGGCTATCGTAATTATCTCTCGATCAATTACAATAATTTACTAGAAGCATTCTCTTGAACTACTCTAGTTAACAATTTTTGCAACTCAGAATTATCCCACCAAAGCTTCGTTGTTTCTAACCCCACTTTTAAATTCAAGTAATTAATCTCTTAACTTACCCAAAAGTGGTGTTGTTCAACAACAATCTAACCAAGTGTTCTTTCTCAAGCAACACATGGTAACTAGACACGATTAATCAAGGGCTCTTTCAATTACCACAATACAATACATAGTTGAACAATCATAGAACAAACACGGCTCAATTGTAACAAAATAGAGTCAAGACTTCATCCAACAATTGGTTCCACACCTCTTCTGTGGTGAACGGATGAACTTCTCAGACTGAATAACCTTGTCCACATCAAAGTCGTAGCCATTCACGAAGCACCAGATCAAGGCAGTTCTCGGACCATTTACCTCTGTGGTGTTGTGGGACGGCAGCAAGTGACTGTTGATGATGTACAACCAGCACTTTCCTTCAAAAGTGAGTGAGGCAGAGTGTAGCTTCGATCCCGGCACAACCCATACTACCTCTTTGTCTGGTGCACAGATAGTTCTGAAAAACGTATTCCATGTGATGGGTTCTCTCATGTAAGTATCATAGAAATCCTCCTCCCCATTGAATTCAGGCAATCGATACGCTCTCCTGATGGCTTCTATCGAGGCATCCACCCTCGTGTGTCGCACAGTGCATATTCTATCCTCATATTCGGGACAGTTGGCATAGAACTCCCGGTCAAATATCAAGTTACCCTCCTCCGGATCTTCGAAAAACTGTCCAATCTACGCCTGATCAACTCCCGATACATATTTTGGCACTCATCCTGGAGGGACGCCCTGTCAATACCCCTTTCCGGTACAAGTTTTTTAGTGGCCTTCAAAGTGAAACGGTCTTGGGCAGCTCTGAAGACAAACCTGGTACGATCAAACTGAGCTGCACTGACCGGTGCCCATCCTCGAGATGAGCCACCATGACCACTTGACAAGGCTCCAGTAGCGCGTCTCTTCCTTGAAGGTTGCATGTTACCTACACAATAAATACTACTATTAGTGGAGAGCGAAATATGTGACCCAATGGCGATCACTCAGACTTCACTCGCACAATTGGTCACAATTTATATTCAACACTCATTAAGGCAAATCAACAAACAGGTAGTGTGCATATGTCCCCCCAAGTCACCCAAAGGCCCAATTAGACTACCATTCCTCACAAACCCAACAATGGCTTCCCCCAAATCAACCAATTCAAATAGCCTCCATATACCACATATAAACCACAATCCAAATTCCAGACAAAAGCACCTATGATTTTACTACCTTATACATACAATAGTAAGGGAAAAGATTGAAAAAAATATCACTGAAAAGAAAAGAAGAAAAATACTAAGAAAGAGGAATAAAATCATGTACTTACTTGGAGATCTTGAGAAGAATGGAGGTTGGAGATTTATTGAGTGGAGAAGAGAAGGAAGGAGAAGAGTCTTGTGTTGAAAG